GTGTTGACATGTCATGGGGGTTGTTAACCAATGTCATAAAACAATATGTGTACTGACTGTTTAATGAGAAACTATTTGTTCTGTAAACCTTCACCTAAAGTACAATAAAAAAATAAAAATTAAGAAAAAAGATAACATTTTTGATACCCATAAGGCCAAAGTGACCCAAGGTGAGGCAGAAACCTGTTAGAGCTAAAATGCTTCATATTCTAAGAACCCTTAGAAACCTCATAAAAATGATAGAAAGTGTTTTATTTCCCCCCAAAATAAAACGGCATTTCATTTGCCCCCAAACTGTATTTGATAGCCAGGAGTCCCTGGGTGGTGCAAACAGTTAACATGCTGTTAAAATTAGTTGCTGTTGAGTTGACTCCGACTCATGGCAACCCCACATGTGTCAGAGTAGAGCTGTGCTCCATAGGGTTTCCAATGGCTGCTTTTTCAGAAGTACATTGCCAGGCCTTTCTTCCGAGGTGCCTCCAGATGGACTCAAACTACCAACATTTCCGTTAGCAGCCAAGCACAATAAGCATTTTCGCCACCCAGGGAACATATACATACACTATCCTGCAAACACATCTACATCCACAGCAGAGACTAACACGGGAATTGAGAGTTGAGGAAATTCTTGATTTTTATTAATTCAGACCCCATCAGGTAAGAAAAAAGGGTCCGCACTGCCCTGCTCTTTGAGTGACAGTACAAGTTTAAGAGCAAACATTCAAATATTTTTCAACAGCGTCTTTTGTCTTAGGAGGTTGGGCAGTAGATGGAAAGTCTTCTCAGATCCTGGAGTGTCCACTAGCAACTTTGGTAATCATTTTCTTCCATTACCGATTTCCTGTGTGAGTTAAGACAGTCCTGTCACTCCCCAGTACCCAAGCTTGTAGTTGCTAATTGATTTTCCACTGTCTGCACAATTGAGTGACAGGTTTGATGGGCACAATTAGAACCACCTGCTACAAATTACTTATTTCCTTTGTTATCGGGCAACTGCTCCTGGTCTTGAACTTTTAACACTTTGTGGGATAGACAGGTGAAAGAAAACAGACCCTTACTGCTGAATAGCAGAGTTCTAGTTACTTGCTCACTGGTACAAAACTTTTTTAGACCTGGCAGCTTCGTTTCCAGACAGAACATGAATGCAAAATTTGAGTTCCAAGGGTTCCATGGATAATTGTTTAAATGCATGTATACCTATATCTTGAATAAGTTGGTCATGGAATATTTGGTACGAGTAACCACATGACATTCGATTTCATCAATTCTGCCAAAAAATGAGAAATCCTACAATATCTCATTTTCTCCTAGGTTTAAACATACATTATTTTCAAGCACTTTTACAATTCTCCTATTCTCTGAAACTGCCATCACCTCCCAACACTTTTGCTGTTAACTTTATTTTTAAAATCACATTTTAGTTATTCTCTTTAAAATAACACAACAACATTCTCAATGGTACAAATTCACTCAAGCCAGAAGAATGTAGAGTAAAAAACAAAAGTGCCTCCATCTCTATTCTTTCCCTCTCTCCCACCAAACCCTCTCTCCTCACCAAAGGTAACCACCATTAACAGTTTGGAATTTGCTCTTCCAGGTTTATTTCTTGTGTATATGTTAAGTGTATTTCCTGAGCCTATATTCTCTTTCAAACTTTTACGAGAAATGATATTCAAAAACTTAATATTTCCAGTTCTTGAGGAATACCACCAGAAATTTCTTGCAATAATGTTCATGGTGTGTGTCTCACATTTTAAAACTACCAATATTCTATTTCCATTGTTTAACAAAAAGAGAAAAAAATGGTCATTTATATGGTAGTGCAGCAGCATAAAAATATTAACAATTGTGTTACTGGGAGAAATCCAAATTGTGGCTACTCAGTTCAAAGCTGAGTCCCTTCTAACTGGATCTCCAACCTTCTCATATGTAAAGGCTACCACTGTATTTTTTTAATTGAAATAGCTCTCTAGTGAAATTACTTCCAAACTTGTCCTTACTTTTTTTCAATCTCTTGTTTTAGGTACTACAAACAAGAGCATTATATGACTGCTGTCTGCTTAGTACTGTGTTATTCATAGACAAGAGACATTCTTTTTTCGGCTACACATGTCACTGGCAAAACTGATAAAGAAATATAATGTTCAATTAGAAATTTAATTATAAAAATACCTCCTTTTTAAATGTGCATTTTTTGAAATGCAAAATATTTATTCTAAAATGGAAACACTTGCTAAAATAGTATAAAAATTTGCTAAAATAATATGCTAAAATTATTATCTTTACATTTTCTTTTTTAAAATTAAAATGTACTATTTAGCACCATGAGCAATGCCTTCTTTACTCATCAAACTTATGAAAGGTCAAGGTATATTTTTCTTTCAGATTGAAAATATTTTTCCTGTTTAGACTGAAAACGTGCACTTGATTTCTTAACTTTTTTAAGGAGTTTATTGAAAAAATTAATTTATTTCTGACTTTAAGAATTATTCCCCTATAAAATTTGATCTTGTAAATAGGTACACACAAGCAAAAAAAAAAAATTATCATTTGTTTTTTGAAAGAATAACAAACAGTGTTTACTTTGCTCTTATCCAGAGCTAATTCTCTTAGAATATACGGTTTAGAAGAAAGGCACATTTGCTGAATTTCTTTCATAACACTGCCATCTCTTAAACTGGATAGAGAAACTGGACCCTACTTAAAAGATATACTTGCCAATTCATAAAGCAGAAGGCGTCTATTGTTTTATGCAATGATAAAAGATATAAAATAGCAAATCAGAATGGACTAAATAAATCTGAAACCAATAGGGGACAAAAGCAAAATGTTGTCATGAATAATGATACCAAAGGTCAAGTTCACATAGAACATTAGTTCTTCCTGTTGTCTGATAAATGTAGAAGGTATGGATAGAGGCCCCTGAGTGGTACAGGTGGTTTGAGCTTGGCTACTAATGGAAAGGTTGGTAGTTTGAACGCACCCAGCAACACCACAGAAGAAAGTCCTGGCAATCTACTTCCATAAGGTCACACCCATTGAAAACATTATGAGCACAGATCTACTCTGAAACACATGGAGTCACCATGAGTTGGAATTGACTTGGCAGCAGGTGTACATAAAGTAGTTCTATGTAAAAAGGTTTAAATGAGAAAATAGATGGAATCTGTGCCTGCAAAAAATAGCAGGTATGGATATAAAAGGAAATGGAAGAACCAGCACTGTCCCCTGGCTTAGGGCCTCACAGTGGTTGGTGGTCCGTGCCATAGCACCCACCATGCAGTGCCTCACTGGCCTCGTAACCTCCGTTTCAGGCACCAGATGTGCATGATAATGATGCTACTCTGCCTCAGAGGGAAGAGGGAAAAGTAATCATATGTTATAGAAGCAGGAATGGATGGAAGCGAACGGAAACTTACAGCAGCATCCAGGCAGTATTTAGTTTTATAGACCTTCTTTTCAAAGTACATTTACATAAGGTTTTGCCACTGTGATGTGGTTAAAAAAGAACTGTTCTCACTTCAAATGTGTGCTATTTAAATATTTTCTGCAGATACTCTGTAATAGAGTATCTGCAGAAAGTGTTTACTCAAGCAAGATGAAAACCTATATGCTCTGAAAAGGTGAGTATCATGGATGCCGAAGAGCACTACATGTTGCTAGTGGTGTTCATGAGGTTCATAAGGTGGTTCAAAAAATTTACTTCATTTTTGTTCTTTTCTCTTTTTCTTCTGTATTTCCTCTGAGACTCTTCTATTTTTAAATGACCCCATTGCTTTTCTTCCCTTATTAAGTTAAGGCTTCATGGTAATGGAAAAAAAAATCCAAAATTGGATTAAAAAGTCTAATTTGCTTTCCTTTTAGGTTTCCTGGGTAATTTCAACAGGCCTCTCTTTTCATATTGACTCAGCAGGTCTGCCCAGAGTCACCATTGCTTGCAATTTGTTTCTTCTGAACTTTACACGTTTTTAAAACAAACTTCTCGAGATACATAGTTGCAAACTGACCTTAAAACTTCAATACTAGCTAAACATTTTTTAATATTCACATTTTCTTGTTAGGTATTCATATGGAAGCAGATCCACAAGTTTTCAAAATTCTGCTTTTGATGTATGCATGTTGGAAAGGGAGCTGGCACAAATAATTGAACACGAATTCATTTAGCTGTTTGGGGGAAAATATTACAAATATACTTCTTTAGATTAGTTCCTAGGGTTTTAAATATATCTGCAGTAAAAACGCACATTTGACACATTTAAATAAGCCAAGGACTCCATGTTCTGTGAACAGAATGACTTGGGAGACATAAAATAAAGCTATTCCGATCCCTGTTCCTTTCTCTCAAGGAAAGTGTGGTAAGTGAATGAATGTAAACTCTATATTTAAAAAAAAACAAAAAAACTTCTAAATTAAAAAAAACAAAATCCAAACCCATTGCTGTAGAGTCGATTCCGACTCATGGTGAGCCCATGTGTTACAGAGCAGAACTGCTCCATATGATCTTCTTTACAAAAGCAGATCTCCAGGCCTTACTTTCATGGTGCCACTGGGTGGTTTCCAACTGCCAACCTTTAGGTTAGTAGTCTAGCGCAAACTGTTTGCACCACCAGGACCTCTTGCTGTCTCTACTCCTCTTATTACAAATCTCAGTGGCCCTTTTGTCATCTTCCTAGTACACACCACTGGGTGGGGGGGCTCACTCGGGGAGGGGGTTGTCAGATGTTAATCTGCCCATTTGATGAGGATCAGAAAGGTTCCGTGGCCTGCAGAAAGTTTCAGAACTAGTGAGGGTCAGAAGTAGAACCCCAGTCTCCTAAGCGCTAACTCAGAAAAGCATAATAATCTTCTTTCCTCCTCCCCTCTGCCCAGCACCACCTCACTCACCCTCCCTAAGGTAAGTCATGTGGCCTAATTATAAAATAGAGTACGTGTTGTTCTGATAAGTGGACTGCTGGCTATGTGGACTTTACCACCTACAGTCCGTAACTGGAGCTGGACTCTTCCTTGAAAGAATTAAGCCCCGTCAGAGTCAAATTCTCCTCACTCATGTGTTTCTGGGAATTGCACTGTCATTTAGCATTTATTATTAATGTTCACGGCCTTCAAGTGTTTTTCTGTTCCATGTTCTAAAGAATTAACAAGAAATGCTTACTCTGGTGCTACTCTGAGCACCTTACTATGTTTTAATGACATTTTTTATTGCCCAGCACCTTAATATAACCATTTCCTATTTCCCTTATTAAGGTTTGAACAGGCTTTTATTACCAGTTTGATCAGCAGTGTGGTAAAAACGAAAGACAGTTATTTTTGGATAGCTCTTCAAGACCAAAATGACACAGGAGAATACATGTGGAAGGTAGCAGGTCAGAAGTCTGAGCCGGTGCAGTACACACACTGGAACACACATCAGCCACGTGAGTAAAGTGGATTGTACCACCAACCCTTTCTTAGTTGCTACTCTTGTGTTCTTTGCCTGAAATTTCTTGCATCCCTTGGTCCATCTCCTTTGATTCTTCCTTAATGTTTTTGCAATGTCTAAATCGACTAAAGCCATCATCATAGCTTTGCAAGGAGTGATATGTGGTTGACCGTTTTTTAAAGTGTAACCCATAAGAGCTACTTGGCATGTTCACAGTATAAATTCATTGCCCAAAGACCCCACATAGCTTTATTAGCAGGAAGTTCAGTTTCTCCTTCTTAGGCTTTTTCCCCCATCCCCTTTCATTGTTCAAGAGTGTCAGGGGCTTACTCAGTCCAGAACAGTTACACTTCAAGCACAGTGGAGAAAGAGAATGGGCACATCTAGTCAATCAGTTCACCCTCCATGGACTTCTGTGGTTTCTTACCCAGAATTACGGAGTTATAGCACTTTTAGTTCACCCTCATCTGCTCAACTCTCGATCCTAAAACATGAAACTTCCAGGTTGGCCAGTTCCAGAGAAGCTAATGGCTTTAGCCACAAGCTCCACAAGAACAGCCCCTGTGAAACAAAGCTTCCTTAGTCCCTATATTAAGTTTAGGTCACCAGCCTAGGACCACCCCCACCATGCCTCAGAGTGAGCTCCTGTTTAGATGCTTTGGTGCCTTTCTTGCTCTATCAGGGCTATCCCAATAGACTACATAGCAGGTGGCCTCTAAGTTTATACCTAGAGGAAGTGGGGTGGGGGCCACAGGCCCTTCCCTCCCACTTAAGCTCCTGGGCTCTTTGTAGAAATTGGGTCTCCTCCATCCTTACAGCTGTATATACCAGGGTAAAGATAGTGTTTGCTAAGACACATCTTTTTCCATTCTCTGACTTTTAATCTTTTTGTGCCCTTATACTTAATGTAAGGAACCCTGGTGGCACAGTGATTAAGTGCTGGGCTGCTAACTGTAAGGTCGGTGGGCAGTCTGAACCTACCCAGTGGCTCTGCAGGAGAAAGATATGACAGTCTGATTCTTCAAAGATTTATAGCCTTGGAAACCCTATGGGCACTTCTACTCTGTCCTTTAGGATCGCTATGAGTCAGAACAGACTCAATGGCAATGGGTTTTTATACTTATGTCTCTCTTATAAACAGCATATAGCTGAATTTAAAAAAACCCCATTCATACCATCTTTGTCTTTTAACTATAGAGTTTGGTCTGGTTACATTAATTGTGGTTATGGATATAATTGGATTTACTTCTGCCGTCTTATTACGTCCTTTCTATTTGTCCTCTACTTTTTAGTTTCATCTTTTCCCTTCTTTCTTTCCATCTTCTGGATTTTTGTTTGTTTTCTTTTTTCATTCTATTTTCCTCTAATTATTTATCTGGAAGTTATGTTTTCTAAGTCTCATACTAGTGACTACACTAGCAATTTTAACATGCATTTTTATCTTAAAATCAAGCATTTGTCAATATCTTTCTTTTCATCTTTAAAATTATCTTGATTTATATTTTACTATTACTATCTACTATTTTGACCTATTTCACCTCCATTAGATATTACTATCATTGTTTATGCAGTAAATATTTTGTTTAGATGCATTCACATACCTTTTAGTGAATGTTCCATTGCATTGTCTCTAGTGAATGGAACCAACAAAACACTGAACACCTTTGAGTAATAGTAGTCATTCCATGCAACTGGTGAGTAAGGTATATGGAGAGTGTTGTTGTTGTTAGCTGTCTTTGATTTGGCCCACAACTCATGACAACTCAGTGCACAGCAGAACAAAATGCTGCCTGGTTCATGATCGATTGTGGATTGGACCATTGTGATCCATAGGGTTTTCATTGCTTTATTTTTGGAAGTAGATCACCAGGCCTTTTTTCCTAGTCCATTTTATTTTGGAAGCTCCACTGATGCCTGTTCAGCATCAGAGCAACACGCAAGTCTCCGCTGGCAGAGAATCGAACCCGAGTCTCCCGCATGTAGGGTGAGAATTCTACCACTGAACTACCACTGCCCCATACAGAGAGTAGTGTATATAAAAAGCAAGGTCAAAGAGGTTATATTAAAACTACAGCTTAATATTACAAACTAAAGACTTTTCAGTTATTCTCTAGATATTGAGAAGTCATGAAAGGTTATGAGTCAGGAAAATATTAGGATCAGAACTGTTCTTCAGTGCGGGTGTGAAATAGGATGATACCAATGGTTATAAGAGAAAATACAGCAATATAGCATGTGGGCAAAGAACTCCTGCTATCAAGGCAAACTCGAGTTCAATCTCAGCTGTGAGATATTAGGGAAGTTACTTAATCTCTCTATATCTCCGTCTCCTCATCGTTAAGATAAGAATAGTATCTACCTGACAAAATTACTGTGAGGATTAAGTTAATTATTACATATTTCCTGGTTCACCATAAACACTCAATAAATATTTGGTCCTCTTATTCCAGAGAATGAATTTGCAGGATTTTGCTTAAAGCTACAGACAGCACCATTGTTAGCTTCTTAGAGTTCCTCATCCATACATTCTAAGATTTGGACCTACTGTGTGCTTGGCCAGCCACCAATGTGAGTGTCCTAGAAAATGACAGAGTTGTAAAGGATGGTCTGGTTGGTGCCTATACCTCTAGATTTTCTCAACATTTATAATCCAACCTTAAATGTTACAAACAAAAAGAGAGAGACGGATCAAAGAAAGTCAGTTAACATTCTGTCAATTGAATGCTATTATTGTTGTTAGGTGCTGTAGAATCTATTTTCAACTCATGGTGACCCACGTGTTACAGAGTACAATTGCCTCATAGGGTTTTCTAGGCTGTAATCTACGGGGCAGTTCTACTCTGTCACATAGGGTCTCTGTGAGTCAGAATCAACTCAACGGCACCCAAAAACAATCTTCACAGGAGCAGATCTCCAGGTCTTTTCTCCCTCGGAGCCACTGGGAGGGCTTGAACCGCCAACCTTTTGCTTAGCAGGCTAGCACTTAACCATTGTACTATTAGGACTCCTTCTCAGTTGAATATATAATATAGTTTAAAAACCTGTACTTATTAAGATGCATGTAAGGTGAAGTTAAAATAAATTAGGCTGTTGTGTGCAAGAACCTTGCACACAGTTTAAGAACCTGGTATAGATACTTACTTGTGACTTTGCATAGCTCTAAACAGCAAACCTATCACAATTCACTCAGTAGTGTAACTTTCTCGCTCTACAAATCCGTGAATATTATTAAAATGCAGAGAGTAGTGAATTTCCATGTCACCCTATTACTCCAAAAACTAAAAGCTCAGGTATCATTTCTAATATACTTTGGAATTTTGTTAGGAATGTCTCTGCCTGTCAAAATAAATTAATACATTTTGAGTAGATAAAATCCTTAGTTTTTAACATTACCTTCCTTGGGGCATATTTGGATGTCTAAAATTTAGAATCGGAGCAGAGCTCCTTGTCATTCATAAGTTTCTGCCGTAGTTTATTTGAGTGGCACTACTCTTTTTCTCTTTTCCCTAAAGCAAAAATAATGCCGTGATGCTCAGTTTGGCTGCTCATGCTGATTGACATTGAGTAAATTGTCTCCGAATATGATGAAAATGTAAATCTTTTTTGAAGAAAATAGCAATATAAAACCCCCTGTGTTTCCCTTTTTCTTTTAAATTGTAGCTTGCAGAAACACCACCCTAAATCACATTTTCTTTCCTGCCTGTCACAAAAGAATCCATTAGCTTGGTCCCCATGTCAGAATCTTAATCCAGCTCGGACTGACTAAATAAATTGACCAGTGAACGGGAAGCCTGCAGCTGTTTATAAACTCAGCCAAGACTCTGTCCTTATGTCATACCAGCCAGATATTCAATCTGTTATGAAATCACAGTTGTGTCATTTTTTTCAACTTTGTATTATGCTGACAGGATAGTATAATGAACCACCATGCACCCACAACCCAGCTTCATCAATTATCAACTCATGGCCAATTTTGTTTCATATATTCCCCTATCCATTCCCCTCAATTCCCATATTTTTTCATAGTAAATCCCAGACATCATATTGTTTCATCCATAAATATTTCAGTATGTATCTCTAAAGATAAACCTTTCTTTATTAAAAAGCAAGACTATAATACAATCATCACACATAAAAATAACTATAATTCCATAATTTCATCAAATCTTCAGTTAATGCTCAAATTTCTAAATGACTTCATAAATATTAAATAATATCGTTTACGGTTTATTTGAATCGGGATCCAAACAAGGCTAACATTGCAGTTGCTTGATAGATCTCGGAGAGTCTGTTTTAATCTCTAGGTTTTCCTCTCATTCCACCCACCTCCTTTACTTTTTCTTAGAATTCATTTGTTGATGAAAATGAGATTGTTTGTCCTGTGGCACTTCCTATAGTCTGGGCCTTGTTGACTGTATCCTCATTATGCTGTTTAATGTGTTACTCTGTCCTCTTTATTTTCCATAAGCTTGACATTTTTATTTTTTAAAAGTTAGAATAGGAAGCCTGGTGAAATTCAGATTTGATTTTTTGTTCTTTGGAAACACTGTTCATAGATAGTGGTGTGTTTTACCTGCAGGGACACAGAGTCCAATTTTCTCTCTTTTTGTGATGTTAGCAGTCATTGATGATCAGTGCCTCGGTTCATTAATTCATTAGGGATTTTTCATGTATAAGCTGGTGTATTTGTATAAAGAGATAATTTCCCTCAATCAATTTTTTGGCTACCCTCTGGTACGATTTTTATAGGAAAGACAGAATGAATGCTTAATTTTTTTTCCATTATTTGCAAGTTTCACAATGATTATTCATTAGCATCTTCCAATAGTGACTAGAGGTTTTTTTTTTTCTTGTTTGACATTATTATGAAGTAAGGGTTTTAAACATATCTGATATATTTCATTCCATTGCAATTATTATCCTTTTTGACACTCAAATTGCCCCATCGTTGACCAGTGAGACTCCCTTTGAAGACTACCTCCTGAGTCCTTTTGA